ATATATAAATTTTGTAAAAATTTTATTAATAAATTGTTAAGTAATAAACATCGAAATCAGCTATAATTTCAAATGATCGGTAAATGATTGGCAAGTGGTCGGATATTTTTTGGAGGGGAGTGTATGTCACGCATCAAAAAATTTGCCTGTATCTGTCTAGTGTTTTTAACATGCTTCAAAAAACAAGGGTCAATCATCTCATAATTTAAATTGCGAGAAAGTTGCAGGGAGCCAGGATGATACAGTGGTTATACCTGTAATATGATGTATGTCATGAAAAATTAGCTTAGCTGAGATATAAATTCCCGATATGTTTGTAATCAAATAAAAATGAATATGATATTTTATTATAATATACTTGTTATAAATTGCTAAAAATACTATAAATCTATAAAATCAGTGAAATTACTATAAACTGTTATAAACTCCTTATACTTGGTAAAATAGCTAAAACTAATCACTATAATAGTTTAAATCCTATAGTAATGTAGGTGTTAAACAATCTGCAATATAGGTATAGTGGTAAAATACCAGAAATGTGGTGTTCTCGTATTCGTTATCCATTTAAGAAACTTCTTAAATATAACCCAAAATACTTTTTGAAAAATAGATTTATCCAGATGATTAAAAGAGTATATATAGATGGGGGATTTAAAGCTGAGAGACGCTTATTTCGTATTTATTGCACTATATGCAACTCCTTGGTGTTTATCTGTGAAAATACCATTGAATGTGCAAATAAATATCTGAATGAATGCATTGCTAAAACAGCCAAAAAGCATCTTGCATATTCTAATCCTGTTCAGAAAAAAGGAGGAAGAATAGCATCAGAACTAAGTAAAGATGAAATTTATGAGATTTGTGGTAAATTTACTGATTTTCCTAGTCAGGGTTATAGTATTAGATGTGATGCAGACTATGAATTGTGAAAAAAGACTGCATATCATATAATTAATAGTGCAAAAATTATCCAACAAGCTTGGAGAGCTTTTAAGTTGAGACCTGAAACATAGGCAAAACAAGTTTAGAATATAGTGAGAAATGATGGTACTCCTGATGAGAAGAAGTTTCTAGGTATAACTCTTCGCAAAATAAGAGTTCCTGATGATTGATATATATACTATAATCGGTAGGATGTAATCCTTCAGATAAAATTCAAGCTAAAGACGTACCTGCATATGATCAGCATAATCCTGTATTATATGATCATTATACTTTACAAAGATAGATAGAAAAAAAGAAAGATCAGTTATGTGAACGATTAAATCTTGTAGCATATATAATTACTTTATAGAATTACATCAGCAAAGCTATAGAATCATTAAATATAGTTATTGGTCTTATATCTTAAAATGGCTATCAAATCCTGAATATTATCATATTGATAAATACCTCAACAATGGCAATGAAAACTTTGTTAGAAGTTCAGAATATGCACAATATAAATGTAAATTGGCAGGCAAATATTATCAATATAATTTACTAGATATTGACTATTATAAAACTGAAAATATTAATATTAATGAAGAGACTACAGTAGTGGTCATAAGTATCTGACCGTCTCTAACTCTAGCTACAAGTAAGTAAATTCAAAAATTTTTTTTATTTAAAAAATACATAACTAACTAACTAAAATTAATATATTGTGTAGTCACCATCTGACTCTATAAGTG